GAAAACTTTTCAAAGGCTTAAAAATTATAAAATAAAATAAAAGCAATCTCTGTCAAATATCATGACGATCCATACAGGGATACGCGTACCTTGTTAAAAATAAAGAAATTTTATTATTGCATGCAAATTACATGCACATACATACATAACGTGCTGCGCAGCTAAGTAACTTGATGCCACTTAGAACAGGCCCAAGACAGAGCGAGACCATTGATCGACGACTAACCGCTGATCTTGCACCTTAGGCGCTCCAAGAGTGAGCGCCTAAGTGTAGCTGTTTACCGATAACAGCATAAGCATATACATGTATCCATAGGTTAAGTACATTATATTGACTTGAATAATTCATTCAATAGAACCAAGTATACCAGCACTGACATGTTTTCGTTTGATTATATAATTACATGGTCACGAATCCCTGCCTGGAAGCAGTAGTTAAAGGATAATTAATCCCTGCATGGAGGCAGACGACTCTGACTGCGCCTTCATGATCAACAATATTTCGACATAGAGCGTCCCATATACTGAGTGAGTAGAGAGTGAGTGTTATGGTAAAAAAAAAACGCGGTGGCTTACAAAATAAAAAAAAAAACGAGAAAGAAGGGCTATCTCCAGCATGCCGAAGATCTATTGGTGGGCAGTATAAGTTGGGTTATTAAGTTGATTTATAGCTCTGCGGTGTTAACGAGGAGGTGGCGATGGGTATAAAATGAAAGATGCATCATATATATATATATAATATTCTAGAAGCAACATATCATATTTGGTGACTCTAGCTCTTAATACTTACTAAAATTGCTCAAAAAACAGCATGTCGATATCGATTTTTATCGATTGCTTGGAAACGGAGTAAGTTATCGATTATCGGTAACAAACTCTATCTGCGCCGGCACTAGGAGGACCTACATCTAAAAATCAGGTCTCTAGATATTATAGGTTCTGAGATCCTTGCGTTAATACATACGGACAGATGGACAGACGGACATGGCTAGATCGACTCGGCTCCTAGGTGTTCCTAGTTGCCGCGCAGATCGAGTTTGTTTCCGATAATCGATAACTTACTCCGTTTCCAAGCAATCGATAAAAATCGATCTCTTACCTTTTCAACATGGATTCGTAAAGAATCGGCCAAAAACAACCAACCTGTTTGGATTTACTTCCTTGGCAAATTATGCTTTCATTTCTAAATTCATTTCATTCTAAGCTCTAGTTCAATCTTCATATAGTCACCATCATCATTGAGGCCAAAGGTGTACTTGGATTCATCAAACGTTGGTCTAAAAACCAAACTCCTATACATCCTATAGGGCGAATCTAATCAGAAGCAATTTCTTATTTTTGCTTACGAGGTTTTAATTAGGACCGCAATATTTGGTTTCCATCCTTCTCCAGCAAGCTTCTTCTTCTAGATCTTCCGTAGTTAGCCAACCGTAGTAAAATCCTCTATGTTGATTGTTGGCGACATAGATTCCTCTTTTCTGTTGGGGCGACTGCAATTCTCTGTTCCGTCTAGACCTACAAGAAATTATCGCCCTTATTCCTACCTACGCGCACAAAAGATTACGATTTGTACAATTCTTTTCGTGTACTCTAAAAGAATTACATTTGTATCACGTTTTCTCTACGGAATTTCCTCTCCCCCTTATATCGATTCTTTCTGGGTAACTACGGATACAAACTGACCATTCTCAGCTATGAGTAGGGGCATAGCTTGCGTACAGACTATCCCTTTATCCCATCTACTTAACACTCTATATATAGTGTGATTTTCTTTACTTTTTTAAAAACTTTTATGAGTCGTTTTTCCTATTTATTACATTTTCTTAAGTTAGTTAGTTAATTAAGATTATTATTATTATTATTACTTAAGGATACTTTTTCTCTACTAACACTTTCATTCTTAGCTGTAGGCTCTAATGATGTCACCTACAAAATTAGCTGTGAAAAGGGGCTTAGCTGGCCGGACGGGGAAATAAAACAACACAATCCTGTCGGTGATGCTATTAGAAAATTGTATATTCTAAGACTTTTAGTCTTTGTATAAGATAATTGAGCAGATACTTGTTTTTGTGGTGGCAACATTTGTCACGGTCCATTCTTTAAGCAGGGAGTAGTTATCAAGTAACACCCCGCAGTCCAGCTTCCCCAACATAACCCACACAAGGCGGAAACTCAGCTCTACTCGGAAATCGGGTCTGCCGACTCTAGCTCTAAGAATCAATTGTCTTTAATTGTAGTTTCGATTTTGATATACAGGGCAAGTTTGGCTGGCATTATAAACGAATTGTTCCGTAACCGTTCCTATCATTCATTATCCGCAAACGCGGATAAACAGTCAATAATCTGCCCGCTAACGCGTAGCGAATTATTAGGCGACGAAGGTCCATTAAAAATATAATGTTCGAGATTGGATTGTTAGTTAGTTGTTTTAGTTAGCTGTTGAAGTTCGGGAGATATTGAAGAATGCAGTTTTTATTCAGTTTGCTCATGTTAAATAAATTCCAGATAAGATTGTGTGTTTCAAATTATAGTAATATTTTTAGATAATATGGTATAACGGGTTTAATAAATTTGTATTTCAAACATTATATCCTCTCTTCATACCCAACTTCAATGGATTCAGGGTATAAAAAAGAGCAAATGTGAATCGGAAAAAATTTGAACTTTACTTTTAAACTAGGGAGCGGATTTTCGGTAAACGGTAAAACGAAGCTAAGATTAAATTTTTGAAGAAATAAATAAAATAAAAAATAATAATAAGAACATAACAAATTTCCAGCTTGACGATTTGGGCTGTGCAATCGCTCTTTCATTCGCTTAACACAACCGTATTAATATGAATGACAACTGAGACACATTTTAAAATAACTATATAAGAGTTTAAAAAACCATTCAGTCCAGCACATGTTTACTAATTTTAAAGACGGTGGTTTTTCCCAATTTATTGCTGGCACTTAATCAAATATGAAATATTGGTGCGTGTATTGGTGCACATAACAAGTGATTAAGAAATTCGGATTGAATTTTAAGTTCACTGAACGAAAACAATACGCAGATGACTCAAATTTGATCTATAACCGTTTGATAAAATGAATGAGTGCTTTGAATAGAGAATATATACTCAGATGAAAAACTTATTGGCTACAATTGGACACCGTGGTAATAAAAACCGATAGCTAACTTATTTGAGGTATTATATATAAAGTATATTTACTTCCAAAAGTAATAATGGACTCTACTGTTGTTTTTAATTTTTTCAGCTAGCTCTGTTTTGAAAAAAAAAACCTAACTGTGGATTAGAGAAGCAAGATCTAAATCGCCGGCGAAAAAATAAATACTTAAATATATCCTTCATATTTTTATAAGAATAATATTTAACTCATCTCAATTTATTAAAAGAAGTAAGTCATATCAGTTAAACTAATAGCAAAATCCCTTTAAAATACTTACAAATATGCATTTGTACTGTGCTGGTACTAAAGGACTTCTATTCAAATTTTTATTTTATTGGTTCTAAGACCGATGGGATCACACAACCGGACAGACGGACAAGACAAGATTGATTACACTATTGATGCAGTTGATGCAGTTCAGAATGCGTCCTACTGCCTGTTACATACATTTTCCCAAAACCATTATACCCTTTCTATAATTGTTTATAATTGCTTCTGCTATCATATATTTAAGTCAAATAGCCCACTTGCCCATATTTTGCCATTCTTCTAAGAATTAAGCTGTATCTTCGCATTTTTAATTTTTAAAGCTCTTTTTAAATGGAGATCCCATCAAGTTAATATAGAAGCTGTTAAAATAGGTATTGAACTTACCTCCACAACCACCACACACTTTAACTAATGTGCTGGGATGTATTAACTGTTGGTTGTTGAATTCATTCGAAGATTCATCCATAAACGACAATTGAGACGAAGAGATGTTTGAATTACTTTCAGCAATATCCTTGGTGTGGCTGGTTCTATAACCAACGACAACTGAAGGGAAATTTTCCGGACTAGAGGAATCTTGCTGATGTGCCGCTAGTATATCAGTATATGAATGGAACGATGCATTCATTGCAAAAATGTACGGTAAGTTACAATTATAAAGGCATATATATTCTGTTTACTGCACGGTGAATTCTGGAATAAATACGAATGCAAAAATTTTTCATTTTCTTATTTGTAATAAATTTATATTTTGCGAAAGCTAATAATATTATTATAAAACAACTTTAAGCAAACAGAGTAATCATCGGGGTGCCGAAGATAATCACACATGCATGTGAAAGTCTTCAGATTATTTTATCTTATTGAATTAAAATTTATTAATAATAATAAAATTATTCAAAATTTGAATCAAACCTCTTTAGTACACATATCTTTCCAACATTGTATCTATCTAGTATGTACGACTTCTACTAATATTCTTTCATGCTCCCTATTCTTATGTATTAAGCTACAATACTTTGCTTAACATAATTGCCTCTCCTTAGTCTACGATTCTTATCTTATAATAAGTCGTCCTTTAACTATTGATCATTAATTCTATTTTATCAACTTCTCTATTTCCCACCATAATCAATCCGATTATTTGTAATTATTGTTTTATTTTATACCTATCATTTCTTATAACCCATTAAAAATGAATAAAACGGGATGATGTTTATGCACAAATGTATATATGTACAGTTGCGAAAAAAATTATAGCACCACAACACAATATGTTCTTGATAAAAAAAAGTGGATTACTGTTCCGATTTTTATTTTATTGATTTTTTTTATATGGTTTAGTATTCCTCAAAAACAAAAAAAGTGTTAGCGTTTTTCGGTCTTTATTTTTTTTTTTTTTTTTTTTTTTTTGGGATTTCAATAAAAAAGCACCCAAAAAGAAAAAATAGCACAATTAGTTTTTACTAAGATATCATTGTTTCTAAGAGAATAATAAAAATTATTACAATGGGAAAGCGGAAGCGGAAAGCACTGCACTGCAGAGCATCGCGATCTTATTAAAAAAATGATATTGGACGGATAAACTTACAGAGAAGTTGGTCAATTTGTAGGATGATCTAATAAAATGATTAAAAACGCCTTAAGCTATGAAGAAAATACTAAAAACACGCGGATGAACACGATCTATGACCTCTCTTCATGTCAAAAGATTGACCGCCAAAGCAAGAAGAATCGCATCAAGCCTGCTGACGAGCTTAAAATGGGCTTAGAATAAATGCGACGGACCAGTTCGTACCTAACTTAGGCAACATAACCTTAAAGCCTGCATCCCAAGAAAGGTACCACTTTTAAACTCGACACCAATTTCTAAACGCATGAAGTTTGCCAGGGATCATGCAAGTTGGACATCCCACCAATGTAGGAATATTTTGTGGTCAGATGAGTCCAAAGTTGTAATGTTTAGTGGAACGGGATCTCGATCATAGGTTAGACGCCCAAGGAACACAGAATACAAACCCCAGTATAATAACTTGCCTCGTTTCCACGCAAATGAATGGTTAAGGGCAAACTATATGAACGTTTCGGAGTTGCCTGCTCAGTCGCCTGACCTGAATCCCATCAAAAATCTGTGCTCCTGGTCCAAAATTCCCCTAAAACGATGCCAGGACTCAGTTGATCCCACTCTAAGACGCTGCGCAGCTATTATTCATGACACTATTATAAATGACACTGTGCTAAGTATTAAATGATAATTAGATTAAGTATTAATAGTTCAAAATTGTTTACTAAGGAATACGCTACTTATTGGTCATTTTTTAAATTTTAAATCCATTATTGACTAGTGCTGCTATTATTTTTTTTCGCCTAATTTGATCAATTACATTATTCGTTTTTATTCGAATGTTTTTAAGAGTCTTCCATTTCAAAAAATGTGCTTCAACTTTCCTTAAAGTTAACAAGTAAGAGGTTCTAGTCGGGGGCTCCCGACTAGGGGATACCCTGAACCCTCTTCTTCCAACATCAAATGCATATATATATTTTATTTTAGAAGCTATATGTCAAGTTTGGTGACTCTTATTATTTACCAAAATTGCCCAAAAACAGGATATCGAAATAGATTTTTATCGATTGCTTGGAAACGGATCAAGTTATCGATTATCGGAAAAAAAAACTCGATCTGCGCGGGAGCTAGGAGCATCTACATCTAAAATTTCAAGTCTCTAGCTCTTATAGGTTCTGAGATCCTTGCGTTCATACATACGGACGGACGGACGGACGGAAAGACAGACGGACATGTATACTTTATGGGGTCGGAGATGCTTCCTTCTGCCTGTTACATACATTTGGATTTTGCACAAATACAATATACCCTTGTACCCATTTTTAATGGGTTCAGGGTATAAAATGTATGTTGGGCAACTATTTAAAAATTGCTCGTGGTGGAGGTGCTATTATTTTTTTCACAGCTGTATGTAATAGGCAGAAGAAAGCATTTCCGACCCGATAATGTATACATATTCTTGATCAGCATTAAAAGCCGAGTCGATCTATCCATGTCCGTCTATCTGTCAGCCCGTATGTATAAACACAAGGATGTCAGAAGCTTTAAGAGCTAGAGACTTGAAATTTTCAACATAGGTCCTTCTAGTTACCGCGCAGTACGAGTCTATTGTTAATCGATTACTTGCCTCGTTTCCACGCAATTGATATCGAAATCTTGTTTTTGAGCAAGGCTCTTATCTGCTTAGAGCTAGTCACGAAATTTCACATTAATTTCATAAATATTAGTATGAATATATCAAGAATTTCATTTTATAGCTACCGCCACGTAAATCATATAAATAAACCTATTGGAACTACACACCAATTTGGACTAAAATTTTAATGCAATTGTCTGTTTGAGAATATATATATATTTTATAGCACAATAAGATCTACTGTTGCAATGCTGTTGAAACAGCATAGCAATTGCGTTTTTATTGTATTATGTGCTGCAGTTTAAATTCCCTTTTTTTTTGGTCAAAAAGGATTTGTCGGTATGGCTGTCGAGTAGAGGCGGTGGCAAGTTGTTATGGGCCCGAGTACTATTATTTTCTTATTTAATTTTTTTGTAATATAACTTCTAAAGCAAATGAGCGCGAAGCGAGGGCTGCATTTGGTGTTGGTAAAAGAGGGTTTAGGGTGTCTCCTAGTCTGGAACTCTTTAAACTGAATCCATTAAATATGGTTAAAAATATAATTATAATGGTTTAGTGTATACAAAGTGTATATTTTCTAGATCTAAATAGCCGAGTTAATATAGCGAACTGGTCTATCTGCGAACTAGCGTCTCAGTTTTAAAAGTTTGCATAGATCCGCCTTTCTGTTGCAGGCACTACATATATCGGAACCGGCCGGAAGGACCACTATTTATAGCCGCCATAGGAATGATCGTTCGAAACGTATGTTCTTGTGCATATTATATAGATACCATATGAGAGATAAAAAAGTAGGTTCTTGTATGGCAACATATTATCTTTTCTAAGAAATTTTCATTAACTTAGCAATTACTAGTTAAACTACTCTTACATATCTGCAAGAGGGCAATTTTTACAATTTATTTCTCGTGTAATTTATCAAATGTCTTGTATTTTACTTAAGTTTTTTCTTTCCAACTTGATTCTTGGTATAGCGGTGAGATATGAATCAAGACGATGTCACGTAGTTCTGTCGGTTTAAGGTATTTGCGAGTTCGCCGCCGGTAATGGGTACATTTTTTCGTTAAATAATGCCCACAGCGCTGGTAGAAGAGGGTTCAGGGTATCCCCTAGTCGAAACAAAATAAAAACTCCTTAAATTTTTTTGCTCAGCCCATTTGAAAAAGTTTAAATTAAGTTTAGAAATTTGTGATTACAGAAGTTTCCCAAATATATATCTCGATCACGACTACGAGTGGATTCAACTAAGTGCAATATTTGGCTTCCAGTGGTTGGCTCTATGCCAACCAGGGATTTAATTTCTCACTTAACTGTTTATCATTGTATAATTAACAAAGAGCAAAATAAATAAAACGGTAGATATGAAATGAACGATATTTTACAAATATATATTCTGTTCAAGAAGCTACGTCAAATTTAAGGACTATATCCCTTATAACTTTTTGTTAAAAAAAAAAAACAGGATTTTGCTATATATTTTTATCGATTGCTGTGAAACGCGGCATGTTTTCAATTATCGGAAACAAATCGTACCAAAGACAATATAAACACTAAAATGAGTAACGCCCATACTAATTTCTAGCCTGGCTTCCTAAACTGGCTTTTACGATTTTGCACGACATGGCAGCTGACTGCTCTTCGTTTAGACGAACGAATACCGAAGTCGTGGCTTGCTGATTCTGACACGAGCCTGCCTTCAGCAAAGCTGGTCGATGGTGCTTTGCGTCGCTTTGTTTTCAAAGTACATTGAGCGAAAAAGTGTTGAACTTACGATCGACGCCAAGTGCTTGTGCTTTATCCATGAAATGCATGCTTTATTTAAATGATATATTACCCTAGAAACTAACGATTAATTTTACTGGAAGATTTAAGAAATAAATCATTTTAGCACAAGACGCTTCTTGTGCAATAACTATGTTAAGACAATTGATTTCACTTTTGTTTTTGGACAGTGTATGCTCGAGAGAATTTCTTGTCTCAGCCAATGACGTGCAAGCCTCTTTGGTGGTATGCGTGAATTATGCATGCATAAGTACATAAAAATATATATGTGTTGTTATTCACTGCTCTGGTTTTACTGCAAAGAAATTAATTTTGTTAGTTTTCTAGCGCTTATCATGACCTATCCCAAATTCGTGTAGACATATGAATGCATGTTGTTTACTGAGGTAGGCGAAGCAAATATCGGAAATGCTTCCTTTTACTTGTTATATTGCACAAAATTATACTCTTTTCCATTCTCCATTATACTCTTTTAGCCATTTTCAATGAGTACAGGGTATAATAACGCGTGAGACGATGAACGTAGTGGACAAATGACCATTAAGAAGACAAAAAAGCGTAATGGGACACACATTTAAGTCAAGCTCTGATGGTTAAGGAAGGTGTGAGAAAGAAAAAGATGATCCCTTACTCTTTTGTAATAGTTGAAATAATAGATTAACTAAAATTTAAATTTTGATAATCAACTAACCAGCAAACTTTCCACTTTTATGTTTTATCGTAAACCTTGAATGCAATGATTTTAATGACTAAATAATTGCACAAGCCCTGAATTAAACATCTCCCTTTTCATCAGCAGAAAGTAAGATGTTTCAACCCACCGTCAAACGTAGGAAAACCTCACAATGAATAATATTATTTAATTAAGGGCTCTAAAATACCCGTTTAATCTTTTACACAACTTCATTATAACGTTTTTTACACCCATTTTTAATACGTACATATATCTACATACAAAAATTCTACGTACATACATGTAAGTATGATTGAACTCGTCGAATAGCAAAATTTGTTTTCATAAGTAAATTTATCATCACCTGTACGTATACGTATATAAGCTAAACTAAGATATATTGCACATTTGGAAAAACATAAATATTTGTGAATATAATTTGGATTATAAAATATTCTAAGCAAGTACCTACATACAAAAATGTATATTTGGAAGAGGTGCACCGACATACTTGTTGATGAAACATTAAAACATATGCGTATATATACAAATAGCAGCAGAAATTTATACGTAGATAAATATTCATACTTTTTGTTGAGTGACGCTTAATACATATGCAAATTTGCATTATGCACGTCAATATTGTTTAGTTACATACACATAAAAAAAATGTGCGAACGACGCATGTATGTAGAAATTTTTAAGAAAAACGAGGACTAATGCAAGAATTTTGTAACAAGGTAACTTACGTGTGAAATGTATTGAAATTAATCGACATTCGAGTTATTACTTCGGGTTTTCTATAAAATAACAAATGTGTTTTGATAATAAATAGCGCTCGTAATATTAAATACGAATTTACAGTGATGGCAGTAATTTACAATCGATAACATTTCATGTATTGTAGTTGTTACTTATGCCTGTGTTACCCAATTCTTTTCCTATGATCACGATCCAATGTTTTTGTAAAATTCGTCAGCATACGTACATATGCTGGGAATACGAAAGTATTCAGACATAAATTTAAATTTAATAAAAACAGAAACAAAACATTAAAGTTTCTATAGGCTGGAGCCAATCACATGCATTTGCTTTGAAAATTGGGTTCCATACTTAATTTATTTACATACATACATACATACATCGTTTGTTTTAATCTTTCGGATAGATTAGTAAAGGTGTAAAGATTGCTTCGCAGAGTTGTAAGCTTCTAAAATATTTTGATTAAATATAGACTGGTATTTTACTAACAAGATCTTTAAAATTAATATATTTTTTTAATTGAATAATAACGAACGTTCGTTAACTAACGAACGTTCGTTAACTAACGAACCATCCGAACTGATAATGAGCCTTGCACACCACTTGCCAGCTACTATTTGTAAATGGTAATGATAATAAACAGTTAAGTGCAGCCAAGATTATAAAATAGGTAATATTTGTCCCACACTATTTTCAGTATTAAAACAATTAAGATGCTCTGGTCGGGAGTTCCGGACTAGGGGATCCACGGAACCCTCTTCTACCAACACCAAGAGCAGCTAGCACTACGTGCTCGTTAGCTTTAGCAGTAATAAAAATAAATTAACAACAAAAAAATAGTTCCATCGATAGGACTCGAACTTGTAACACACAGCACTACTTGCCGCCGCCTCTACTCAACAGCCACACCAACAATTGAGTCTTAGTATGAAAAAAACGAGCTCTTACCGCTAGCTGCTTTTGGTGTTGGTAGAAGAGGGTTCATGGGATCTTTTAGTCGGGAACTCCCGAAGTGAACCCCTAACTTGTTTTAAGAAGCCATATTGAAGCAATGAAACATGTACAAAAGGCAAGCAAGCCGCAACAAACAGGGAATAGTGACCTCATATTTTTTATTTGAATCCTCTGGTTCATCCCTAGCTAAAATCTGGGGTGTATATCGACGATGGTTGCAGTAGCTACTTGGGTGAACATTTGGTACAGTAGTCATCTCGTAGGTGACCTCCCTAGGTATAGCGAAGAATTCTGTTTAGAAACATGAGCTTTTAACAAGACCATATCTCTAAAGTGCGTAGATTAATATACCCTAGTGGTGATTCTTAGAAATTAAGGGTGCTCCGACTGCATTCATATACATGAATTACTACCACATAATTCAATGAGGTCCCTAAGCCACAGGCAAACCACACCCGCTATAAATAGCGGCTTGTACCCTTACATTGTTGTTCACAATCCGAACAAGTAGAGTACCGTCCTCGCAAAAGCATTAGGAAATACGCGCCTGCGCTTATAAGAGATTGTTGCCAATATGAGCTTGATGCGGTCATCGTTTGATCTGGCAAGGAAGATTTCAAGCAATAACTGGTTTTCCCTGGCAAGAGTCCCCATGCAGGCCATGCATGATACCAAGTCTTGCAATTATACGAGAGCGCCTCAGCTGTGATCAGTGCTTGTGAAGGAACCATTTTTTGCAAGAGAACTGTGTAAGGCATTGGCGAACACTGGTTTGGAGAAAAGATTGCTGTCGTCCGAGCAGGCCAAGTCTTTGAGGACAAAATCATACTAAATATGCTCAAATGCTAGAGCCTTTACTGTGATACTGGTGGCTGGAAACTGCACGCTCACAGGAATGGGCATGCTGCAAGTTACTCTGTTCGATCATTTTGGGCATTCATTTATTTTCTTAATTTGGACATTCATTCATCTCAATATATAAAACTGTTTGTCCTGACTGACTGACTGACTGATTGGTGATCAAACCGTAAGAACTAGGAAATTTTCAGTGTAGTTACCTTATGTGATGAAGGTGCACGTTAAGGGTTTCGGGAAATTCCACCCGCAAGTATTGAAAAATCGACTCAATTATTATTTGTTCAAATTCAGTGTGAAACACCCCACTACATTAAAAATGTATTCCTCCTTGGTGGAAATGGTGATCAAAGATTTGGAGGATGACGTTTCGCCCTCAAATTCATTTTTAAGGATCTATATGCAAATCATTTGAGACGTGTTTCAGATTTTTCGCAGAATCAAAGCATCCTCGCTAGAAATGCGATTCTAGGATTTTTTGGGCGAAGTTTTAAGTTTTGTTCGATTTACCTTAAACTTATTTTCAAAGCTCTACATAAGAAATTATTGAATACGTGTTTCAGCAATTTGGAAAATTCCACCCACAACAGTGGTTAATTAGCAAAAAACGTTGGTATAAAAGTTTTTTGTTAACCATCGGATGGGCTTCAAACTCATTTTCAAAAATCTTTGCTCAAATTCATTTGAGGGATGTTTCGCACTTTGTGGAAAATCCATCCCTTCTTGTTGGAAATGAGTGTCAAAGGTTTGGTGGGTGACGTTTCGCGCTTAAATTCATTTCCAAGGATTCATAAGAAAAATCATTTGAGACCTGGCTTACATTTTTGGCGGAATCAAATCGTCGTCGGTAAAAAGTGCAATTCGAAGATTTTTGCTGTGATATTTTAATTTTTTCCGATTTGGCTCAAAATTATTTTTAAAACTCTACATTAATTCTTTGTTTATTTATTTATTTATTAATGGTTGACAAACCTAGTGTCTTCCTCATTATTCAATAGATTATACATACAATACATAATGGAAATTAAGTGATGAAAGCCTAGTTAGAGAGCACAATTTTCTAATGGCATCACCGACCGATGGAGGTGTTTTATTTGCCAGCTGTGCCCCTTTTCACAGCTAATTTTCTCAGTGACGCTATTAGAGCCTACATCTAAGAAGAAAGTAGGAAAAAAGTGCCATTAAGGAAAACTAAAAATAATCTATATTAATTAAGAAAATACATTATTTAGAAAATAAGCAAGTGGGCAGATTTTTAATAAAGTAAAGAAATGCATGCTAGCTATTTAGAGTGTTAAGTAGATAGGACATACAGAATAGTAATGGGAAATCACTGACCCGGTGGGGGAAAATTTATAGCCTGTTCGGCAGCTATGGCCCTGCTCATAGCTAGAAATAGTCAGTGACTACCCGAAGGTATCCTGAAAGCAACGATTTTATTAGGGGTAGAGAAAGTTCGGTAGAGAAAACGTTATGCAAACTATTATAATTTATATATAGCACGCGAAAAGTATTGTGCATAGCGTAGTCTGTTGTGCACGTAGATAGGAATAAGGGGCGATAATTTCAGGTTGGTCTAGCCGGAAGAGAGAATTGAAGAAAAGGAGAATCTATATCGCCAAAAATCAACTTATGTATCCTTGGTTAACGACGGAAGATTAAGAAGAAGCAGCCTGCTGGAGTAGGATGGCAACCGAAGATTAGGCTCCCAATTTAAGCCTCGTAAGGCAAAAAGCAGAAATTGCTTCTGAACAAATTCAATACGATCCTGGCATTATTATACTGCGGAGACCAGATGCAAGAGCAGTATTCCAGGGTAGGGTGAACAAGAGAGATGAACAGAAGTTTCGTTATAAAAGGATCGTTAAACTCCTTAGACCATCGTTCAATGAATCCAAGTACACATTTAGCCTCATTAACGATGGTATCTATGTGAAGATTGATCCTTAACTGTTAGTATACGTTGCAATGGGGTATTGTCGATTGTATAACTGACAAGATAAGGTGTAATACGTTTAATTGTCATCAACATACACCAAAGTTCCATTGCGTCCAAATCGTCTTGTAGACGAGATTGATGTAGGGTATTAGTGTATAATAGAATAAGTTTTACATCGTCCGCATACATGAGTACACGGGCATGTGATATAACAGAGGGTAGACCATTTATAAAAGGAGTAAAGAGTAAAGGTCCAAGATGACTACCTTTAAGATCACCAGAAGTAACGTGTAGCTGTGTGTAGTCAGCCTTAGTCAGCATTAGTCTTTGGCTCCTTTTAAATAACAATTAATCCAAAGCGGAGGGAAACCTTTTAGGTCAAGTTTAAAAAGTAAAATGTAATGATGCACAGAGTCAAACGCCTTACTGAAGTCAGTATAAATGACATCAGTTTGCTTTTTCGAAAGGAAAGCATCATTTACCAAGAAAGTAAACTCAAGCAGATTGGTCGTAGTTGGCCGATTCTTTACGACTCCATGTTGAACTGGGGAGATTTGCAGAAATGCTGCAATTTCGAAGTGAAATTTAGCGGAAAGTTTTGCAAAGCCCCTGTAATATTCTGATATACAAAATTAATTTATTCTTGTGGAGAGGAATGATACTAGATTCTTCCAAAGAGATGGAAAGACAGAAGATTCAAGGGATAGGTTAAAATGCCTTAGCAATGGATAAGGAAGGGAACAACCCTACACATTGAGTAGACAACTAGAAATATTGTCAGGTCCAGGAGAGTAAGAAGATTTTAAAGTATTTAAAGCTTAAAGGAAAGAGGAGCGTGAAAAAATAGGAGGAGGTTAAGAACTAGAGGAAGTAAAGATATAAGGGTAAGAATTATTATAGGGACAGAGTGAAGAGTAAGTTGATTGGAAAAAATAAACTAAGAGGTTAGCAGCATCAGAGTCATTGTTAGTTTTATCCATCCCGAGAGAAAAATAATGATGGCAAACTTAAAGATTTAGGCTTCAAGTTTACAAAATTATGAAACTGTCTTGGATTTTGGGTAAATTGCCTTTTGCAACGAGTTAGATAATTCTCATAGCATTTAGAATTCAGAAGAAAGAAGTTCGACTTGGCTCTGGAATATTTAGCCAAGTCTGTACCCGTACCAGACTTTTTAAACTTTGTGAAATATTTGGATTTTAAATTTTTTAGATTTGACAATCTGGGAGAAAGCCAGGGTGGCTTTGAAGAACTAGTCGAAGGTATTAACTTGGGAATAGACATATCTAAGAGGGAGTTTGGGGTGTTATACAAAAATTAATAGCACTATTCACAATCGGTTGCATAAATAAGCTGCTTCAGCAATGAATAATTTCCTTTACGAAAGCAACGGCAGGGCTTATTGGCTGATGAGCACGAAATGAGATGATTACAATTGAACATTGCAACCTCCAAAGTAGGATGATATACATTCTCAGAAAGAGATAAAGGAGGGGACCTAGACATATTAGAAATGAGGTAGTCGTTAACAAATACAAGGTCAAGTGTTCTATTCAAATGATTAGAAATTGAG